CGCATCACACACCTTCCATTTTATAAGCTCCCCTCTCCTGCTCCCTGCACCTGATCTTCATCCAAAACTTGGCCCTCTACCCTATCAATTACTCCCACGTCCCCTGCCTCCGCCTCAGGGAGACCGTAAGACAAAGCTATCTGTTCTGCTAGAAAGTAGGGGGGGGGGAGCAGCCTTTAGGACAGCATGACGTGTTCCATAATGTTCCCTGAGTCTTTAGAGGAATGTTTTTGTGTTTATAAAATGCAGCTTACCAAGATGGCAATTTAGAGGGTACAAAGGAAAAAGGGCTTTCTTAACCCTTTTCCCTCAGGCCCAAAATTGTTCCCAATGAGAAGCTTTTATCCCTGCTGGGGAAGCCTTACAGGTAACCCATTTCTTTTTCTTCAGTGGGGGACTCAATGCTCCCTCTAAGCCGTGGAGTCTTGTGAGCAAAAATAGTACTTTGTGAGCTACTGGCATTATTTATTTATATTAATTTATTTATAATTTCAATTTATAGCCCTCCCTCCCCACAATGCGGGCTCAGGGCGGCTCACAAATAGGCATACGCCAACACATAAAAACAGTTAAAACCATAAAAACCATTATTACAAAATTCTGCAGGAGTGCACAGGAGCGGAGCTCCGGCAGTAAAGAGCCCAGGGGGCGAGCACATGCAACAAGCCCTGCCCCCTGTTCCCAGCAGCCCTCAGTCAGAGCAAGAAGCAGCCAGATAAGTTGCAGAGCCCCCCCCCAGCCCCCCGGTCCAAAACAGTCCAGTGGAACCTTTAAGGCCAAGTTTTATTCAGGTACAAGCTCTACCTCCTCTGCGAGGACAGATCTGCATGCCCCCCCCAATAGCTAGCACACTTCCGGTGATGTCAGGGGGTGTGGCATATGCCAATGAGTTATGCTAATGAGTTATGCTAATGAGCTCCTGCACCTCTTTTTCTACGAAATGACCCCTGCATGTGGCACTGTCGTTCTCTCTTCCCAGGGCCAGTTAATAATTATGGTACGATAGTGGCGGCTCCTACCCAAAAGCCTGGCGGAAGAGCTCCGTCTTACAGGCCCTGCGGAACTGCACCAGGTCCCACAGGGCCCGGATCTCCTCTGGGAGCTCGTTCCACCAGGAAGGAGCCGCCACCGAAAAAGCTCTGGCCCTGGTAGCGGCCAGCCTGGCCTCCTTGGGGCCTGGAATCGTCAGGAGACGTTGCGTCCCCAACCGTAGTGCTCGCAGGGGAACATGTGGGGAAAGGCGGTCCCACAGGTATGTTGGACCCCGGCCATATAGGGCTTTAAAGGTAAGAACCAGCACTTTGAAGCGAATCCGGTACGCTATCGGCAACCAGTGCAGCACTTTCACAACAGGCCGGATGTGGTCCCGGCTAGGGAGACCCATCAACAGCCTGGCCGCAGCATTCTGCACCAGCTGCAGCTTCTGGATTTGCGACAGAGGCATCCCCATGTAGAGAGCGTTACAGTAGTCTAACCTCGAGGTGACCGTCGCGTGGATCACTGTGGCCAAGTCATTGCGGTCGAGGAAGGGAACCAACTGCTGAGCCAGCCATTAAAGTTGTGAGCGAGTGATTTGGCTACTGCATAGATGAGTTTGCTCTGGAGCCATCCTTCCTGAGCTAAGACAAGAATCTGTGAGCCGGAGGCTAAAAACCTGTGAGCTAGCTCACACTAACTCAGCTTAGGGGGAACACTGGTGGGGGTACACACAATTTGTTGGGGGCTATTTCCAATGGGGAGAAATATGACACCTGGGAAAAGTTCAGAGAGGCCCCTCCTCCCTTGAGCCAACCCTCCACCCCTTCAAACTTCAGCCTCTGTAGCTGCAGTTTATAAAAGCATCTCTTCAAAGAATCACAGAGCAACATATAGTTCCACCCTAATTGAGTGCTGAACACAGAAACACTCCCTACACCTACCTGGGGTGGCAAAGCTGGGAAAAGCCGACTTTGTGGAGCTGTCATGGGAGTGAGTCCGTTCTGTCCCTGCCGTCCTCCGAGTTCCTGGCTGCTGAGTGGTATCGACTATCAGGCCCCAGTGGGTAACTCTTTCATGGACAACTGGCCCCTGGGTCCCTGTCGTGCCTTCTGGTAGTGGAGAGGCTGAAGGGCTGAGGAAAAGATCCTCTGGGGCCGAGTGACGGGAGCCTTCTGGGCCCTTCCTATCCGGTGGGACAGCCATACTGGTTAACTGTGGTGTCTGGGAAGTGGGAGCTGTGTACACAGTGCCCTTTTGCGGCCCTAATGGACTCTGGGTGTACCCAGTTGCCGGTGTGGGTATAAAAGGAGTGGTAGAGAGGTCTTCCCTGCCTTGAGGGCCACCATAGACCTGTGTGCTCCTGTACGAGGCCAGGTATTTTACTGTGGTTTGATTCCTGCCGAGCAGTTCCTGCCCTGTGGAATCATCGGCCCTAGGATCGGTGCCCTCCGTTGCCATCCATTTTATGTAGGGTACAGGGGGAGGTAATGTCACCAAGGGGATGGTAGACACTGTAGGCCTGGGGCTTAAGGTTGTTGCCATGGAGATGTCTTTGAATACTGCTTGGAGGTGGCTATGTGTGGTGTCCTCCCTGGAGGCTGTCAAGTTGAAGGCAAGTTCCCTGGAAGAGGCTGGGGATGAGGCCACACCAGGGCTCACTATGCTTGCCGTCTTGATGCCAGGCAAAGGGAGAGAGCTCCCATTTCCCCCTAGTCTTGGTTCCACAGTTAGGTGGCCAATATCATCAGGTGCTTTTTGAACCCTGGAAGGGCCTGCTGTTGGCAAAGAGGAGTCACCTCCTTGGGGCACCAGCCTTCTTCCCAAAGCATTTGTAGGCGCCACCACTGAGTCAGAACTCGTCGCTGTCAGGAAGTCAAAGGGCAACGTGAGATTGGAGGGGCCAGGACGGGCAGTGGGGCTGGCACCTCCCCAGCTGTCGGCTCTCTGCACCCCATCACCGCTGGAGACCTCAAGGGCATTGGGATCCGAATGGGGCACAGCTGGTGGGAGAGCAGGAGCGTTCAGTGAAGGCAGCTCCGGGGCGGAACTCAAAGAAGCGTTCCAGGCAGGGCTGTCCAAAGTGGGGAGAGCGAAAGCCTGAAGTAACAAAGGCAGGAGCAGACTCCAGGCGAAGGAGAGACCCACGGCAGCCATCCCTGACGTGAGATGGTGAAGCTCAGTGTCCAGCATCGTCACAGCTTCTCATGCTTCGGCCTGTGGAAGAGGAACTCTGTCAGAGGTGGAGGGAAGGGGCATCTCTGAAGAGCCATCACACAAGCAGGGAACAGGCAACGCTTTGACTGGAGAAGGGGCTGGCTGGAGAGCGTATGCCTCCATGCTAAACTGCGGAGGCGGACAGGGTTAAGCCTGGAGCCAGCTGCAAACACAAGGGCCCAAGACAGGAGCAACGAGAGCTGCAGGCAAGCACGAGCGCATGAGTGTGCCCGGCTCGTGCCGAGGCACATGGATGCAAACATGAAGAGGCAATCACGTGCACCCACTGCTTCTCTCCCTCAAAGCTGATAGGAGGGTTCCTCCCGCCCAGATGGAGATCTGTATCCCTCACCCTCCCACCTTCTGCCAGCGTTGGAAGGGCTCCAAACAAACAGCAACTAACTCCAGCCGTTCCTAATCCTGGACTTTGCCACAGTACCTGCAGCTGCATCTAGGTCCTAAGGCACGGCCATCGGGATTGAACAGGCATCTTTTGGAAATTAGGGAGAAATCTAGGGAGGGTCCTGGGGCAGCCCCCTCCTCATTCTGCTCACCACCCTCCTCATTCGGCCATTTGGCCACGGTAACAAAGCATTACAGAGGACGTTACGTAAGGAGCTGTCTGATTCACATAACCCATCGCCCTAGCAGCACCTCTCCAGGGCCTCAAAGATCTTCCCCAGCTCTGCTAAGACAATTTAAACGGAGAGATCAGAAACTGAACCCAGGAATCTTTTTTTTTCACTTACAAGGGCGGGAGGGGGAAGCAAGCGTACCTCATGGGAATGCAGGCATCAGATGGCTCACCAAGACACCTTGATCCACAGATGCTGTATGGCCCACAGATGCCCCCACACAGTTGGTCCCTGAGCCCTGCGAAGCATGCAGGTTCACCTTGGGCATCTGGCTCTCACTCCAACGCAAGGAAGATGGGGACGGTCAGACCAAGTAAGCAGAGTCCTGCACACCTGATTGAAGCCTGAAATCCTGCAGCACTTTGAAATCCTTTCCAGACCTGGCAGCAAAAGAGCTGCATGATTTTGGAATCTCTGCCTTTCAGACAGCCCCACTGCCACAGCTTGGTCAGTCTCACTCGTCCTCACCGAGGCTGCCATTATCCCAGAGTGGCAGAAGCCACCCTATGGCAGCCTGTCCCCCTCCAAGCCTGCAGCTATTGGGTATGTAACGAAGCTGAACTTAACTAAGCCTGGGTGCAAATTAAAACTCAATCACTGACTCTGAAGAAGTGAGCAGTGACTCACAAAAGCTCATACCCTGCCACAAATTTTGCTGGTCTTTACGGTGCCACTGGACTCTTGCTCTTTTCTACTGCTATAGACAGACTAGCATGGGTACCCATCTTGAACCGACTCCTGATGTTGGCTCTGGGCATCTCCCAGCCTCAGTTTCTTCAGCTATAAAATGGGACTAATTAGTCACCCAGCCTCACTGGAGGTTGTATAGATGACATAATAATACAAACACCAGGCTGCACTATGTACAGCTCCGGTTGCTAACAAATCTGGACAAACATGTCCTGCCCCTTTGATAGAGACCTGATGTGTCAAAATGGGCAGCTGAAGCTTTTCTCCAGGCAGCCGACAACCGTACGCACAGATCCTGACCATTCACCCATCTCCCTATCATACAGACGTTCCGGTACCTACCAAAGAGCAAAGGATCCGCTCTCCCATGTCCCAGAGCCCCAAAATCTTGCATTAAAAAACAGAGCCGGAACGCAAAGGAGGGGCCACACCCCACATACCTGAAGGTTCTACCTGCCTGGAATCGTCAGGCCCACTTCCTCCTGTCTGCTGCTACCTGAACACAGCGGCCTAAACCTGGAAGGGTTCTGGAAGCCAACAGTAAGGATTGTGGCGCAAAACACCAAGAGGCCTCCAGGGGCAGATCCGGCAGGGTCGAGCCAGCACACAGATCCAGCGATAACAGAAGCAGCGAAGATGTGCTAAGGCGGATGAACGGTCACAGCACGATGTGACCGGCGCATGAACAAGCGGGCAACGCAGGGAGTGGGCAGCATCCAAGCCTGGGAGTTGGCAGGGTGTGCCGGCATCCAAGGACAGCAAATGCCGGGTGTGCCAGGCGTCCAAGCTTCATGACCTTTCATTAGTAACCTACCTCTCCAGGTACCCGGCGCCAGAGACGGTGCCCACAGTCTGCCTGCGTCCTTGCAAGCGATTCATCTGTAGTACAAGGTTCCTTACCTCGGATTCCTCCTTGGGGCGGCGGCCCCTTAGCGGCCCCATCCTTGGGGGTGGTGGGTGGGAGGAGACTGTGCCAGAGATGTTCCAAAGTTCCCTACTTCTCCTCTGCTCACGTCTCCCCCATAGCCAGCTTCGTTAACGCTTTCACCTCCGCAAACTCCGCGCAGCACCTTCGCTCCTCCTGGCACCGCGGGCGGCAGCAGACCTGCAAAAACCAGCCAACCACGAGGGTTCAGCACCTCCCCGTGCTCGTCAGTGCGCGGGTCACACAGCACATCAACGGCAACGAGTCAAGCCAGCCAGCATACATTAGGGGGCAGAAGGAAGGGCGGGGGAGGCGCGAGGAGGAACCGCCGCCTTCTCCCGCTCCCAGTGTGAGATTCGAACTCAGTGCCAGGGATCCGCGCTCTGCCCACCTGGCCCGATGGGAAGACCTGCCGATCAGTTCCGACCTGGCGCTCCGCGCGCAGTTGCGTGCCCAGAGCTGCTGCAGAGAGAGCCCGGCGGGGACCGAGATCCACCTCCCGCCGCCGCTGCTGCTATTGCGGCGGCTCAGTTCGGTGCAGCGCCAAAGTGGGGACGCCGCCAACCCCAGCAAGCGCCTCTCGGCGAATGGGGCTCCGATCTCTGAGCCGGAGATAAACGCCCGCCTCCCTCTCTCTCTGCCCACCCCTTTCGCCAAGGGCCGGCAGAGGGTACGCGGGCACCGCACCGCAATGGCCACATGGCTGCTTGCTCTAGCCTACGCGCACCCCCACCCCCGCGCATGCAACCAGGTTGCGATCGCAAAACAGGAGGCCTGGTGGGCAAAACTTAATTGCGTCAATGAGGAGTGAAGGGGATATAATCCCAGGTATGTCAGCGGTGGAGGAAGGGAAAGGCACTGTGCGCATATGCTCAAAGGCACTCATTTTTGTTACTGCTTCACATCATCCGTGCACACTTGCCAACCTCCAGGTGGGGGCTGGGGATCTCCCGCTATTGTATTTGATCTCCAGACTGCACAGATCAGTTCCCCTGGAGAAAATGGGTGCTTTGGAGGGTGGACTCTATGGCATTATAAGGAGCTGCGGTGGCTCAAGTGGTTAAGACGCTGAACTGCAGGCTGTGGAAAGGTCAGTAGTTCAGCAGTTCAAGACCCGGGTGCCGCAAGACGGGGTGAGCTCCTGTCTCTAGTTCCAGCTCCTGCCAACCTAGCAGTTCGAAAGCAAGAAATTGCTACTAGATAAATAGGTACCACTTCGGTGGGAAGGTAACAGCGTTCCGTGCGCCTTGGTGTTTAGTCATGCCGGCCACATGACCACGGAAATGTCTTCGGACAGCGCTGGCTCTTCGGCTTTGAAACGGAGATGAGTACGGCAACCCTAGAGTCGGCTTCGACTGGCTTTCGAGCAAAGGAACCTTTACCTTTACCTTTACCACTATGGCATTATACCATGCTGAGGTCCCTCCCCCAACCCCGTCCTTCTCAAGCTTCACCCCAAAGTCTCCAGGCATTTCCCAACCTGGAGCTGGCAACCCAAGATCCGTGACTGAATACGGGGAAGAGTGCAGGGAAGCCCTGATTCAAACGATGCCCTGAAAGGTCAGAATGTTAAGGGAAATAGTGTTCAAGTGATTACTGTGAGACAAGTCATTCAGAATCGTTTTGTGTGGTGCTGAGCAGCGAGGAAAGTGTTACGGCGGATAGTAGTTTTAGTTGCCTTTTTCCAACGGGTGTGATATAGAGTTTAAAAGATGAACTGCCCAGAACTCTACAAAAGCCATTAAAGCAAATCAAGGGCTTGCTTCCGTCATTCATCCGGAATTTGCTGATCACCCACTGATCCTGGCTCATCCCTTTGGGCTAGCAAAGGTAATTGTAGGGATCATCACAGACCCATCTGGCTTGTGGGTACCTGGGGATTCTGAATTAGTGTGCCTACCACTCCTCTCTACCAAATCTTCTGTCTGCAAGCATCCTACATTAGATGGATAAAACAAAGAAAACCAGAGATGGAAAATAATTATTGAGGGGTGACCATGTCACTTGGGTGCAGTAAAAATAGGAGTTTTGTGGCACATTAAAGACTAATAATGGTTCATTTAAGCATAAGCTTTCATGGACTTTGCTTTGGGTGTTTCTTCAGATGCAATTCAGGGATCCTCACCACGTAGACATCTTATGTAGAAGGTATGGGGAGGAATGTAATATGCAAAACACAGATCTAATTGAGAAAAAATACAGACACAACCCTATGCAAAGTTAATTAATGCATGCTCTTGGTGGACTGTTTTGCTAAAACAGTTGACGCCTATACTGCAATAA